AATCCTCCTTACCTTTTGCATTCTCTTTCTGCTATCTAAAGATTGAAAGTTGTTCAGAGCAAGGTTCTAGTCCCTGTATGCCATTACTTTGTATAGTTTGCTACAGGTCAGTGACTTACAGTATATGCTGGTTGCTGTGATCATTCTGTCTTTGTAGACTTCCGAATGTGTACCACATTGACAATGCATAATCACACAAGTGCAAATGTAAATATTTAAGAACACAATTATTTACATGAATACATATATAGTCAAAACAAATTCAAAGGAATCTGGGGTAGTAATAGATGCGATACTGCCTGGTGCCAAGGTTGTGGCAATTGTTTAGGTTACAGACTCCTTAGAGAGATAGATGATTAGGCTCTCAAATAGGAAAGTTCCCTGGCCACTACACAACATTGAGACATGGCAATGCCACTCCACACCAGGTTTTTCACGTAGCTGAAGCCACATGTGCTGTGCTGCTAAGATGTGGGTATTTTGTGCTGTGGATGGGTGAGTATAAATGTGCTGGAAGTAGGAATGAGGTTCAGGTTCTCCACTACCATGGGTTTGAGGAAAATCCTACAGGTTTGAGAGTTGCAGTTCCTGCATATTTATGAGCAAATTCATCCAAAAAAAAAATCATTTAAAACATAATGCACTGCATGCCCTTTGGACTATAAAGCCTAGTACATGTGATCAAAAAAATCATACTTTAAATACAGCTTTCAAAGTAATCTTACAATAATCTGATTGTTAGTACATAGCTATTATCTGAAATTATTTGAAGGGACAAGCATGAACATTTTTCTTGTATGATACCAGATCGAACGATTTTCGTTTAAACAGTACAATTTGTATCCAAAAATACAATACAATACATTACATAAAATAATTTTAGTAACCTCTTCATTTTTGATATGGAGACTAGCATGCAATAAAAAAAAAGTACGATCATTTGATCGATATTCTCATTGTGTGTACGGGGCTTAACAGGTCAGTAGGCTTAGTTGAGCTAATAAGGAGACATTTGATAAAGGAGTCAAAGTATCTAGCTTGATCTAATGTGTATAGTATATCTGTCTATATATGCATATATATATACACAGGTGAAACTCGAAAAATTAGAATATCGTGCAAAAGTTCATTTATTTCAGTAATGCAACTTAAAAGGTGAAACTAATATATGAGATAGACTCATTACATGCAAAGCAAGATAGTTCAAGCCGTGATTTGTCATAATTGTGATGATTATGGCTTACAGCTCATGAAAACCCCAAATCCACAATCTCAGAAAATTAGATTATTGTGAAACGGTGCAATATTCTAGGCTCAAAGTGTCCCACTCTAATCAGCTAATTAAGCCATAACACCTGTAAAGGGTTCCTGAGCCTTTAAATGGTGTCTCAGTCTGGTTCAGTAGGAATCACAATCATGGGAAAGACTGCTGACCTGACAGTTGTGCAGAAAACCATCATTGACACCCTCCATAAGGAGGGAAAGCCTCAAAAGGTAATTGCAAAAGAAGTTGGATGTTCCCAAAGTGCTGTATCAAAGCACATTAATAGAAAGTTATGTGGAAGGGAAAAGTGTGGAAGAAAAAAGGTGCACAAGCAGCAGGGATGACCGCAGCCTGGAGAGGATTGTCAGGAAAAGGCCATTCAAAAGTGTTGGGGACTTTCACAAGGAGTGGACTGAGGCTGGAGTCAGTGCATCAAGAGCCACCACACACAGTCGGATCCTAAACATGGGCTTCAAATGTCGTATTCCTCTTGTCAAGCTGCTCCTGAACAACAAACAACGTCAGAAGCGTCTTACATGGGCTAAAGAAAAACAGACCTGGTCTGTTGCTCAGTGGTCCAAAGTCCATGTCATCTGCTGGTGTTGGTCCACTGTGAGTCAATAAGTCCAGGGTCAACGCAGCCGTCTACCAGGAGATTTTGGAGCACTTCATGCTTCCTTCCGCAGACGAGCTTTATGGGGATGCGGACTTCATTTTCCAGCAGAACTTGGTACCTGCCCACACTGCCAAAAGCACCAAAACCTGGTTCAATGATTACTGTGCTTGAATGGCCAGCAAACGTGCCTGACCTGAACCCCATAGAGAATCTATGGGACATTGCCAAGAGAAAGATGAGAGACATGAGACCGAACAATGCAGAAGAGCTGAAGGCCGCTATTGAAGCCTCCTGGTCTTCCATAACACCTCAGCAGTGCCACAGGCTGATAGCTTCCATGCCACGCCGCATTGAGACAGTCATTGCTGCAAAAGGGGCCCAAACTAAGTACTGAGTACATATGCATGCTTATACTTTTCAGAGGTCCGATATTGTTCTATGTACAAACCTTGTTTTATTGATTGCGTGTCATATTCTAATTTTCTGAGATTGTGGATTTGGGGTTTTCATGAGATGTAAGCCATAATCATCACAATTATGACAAATCACGGCTTGAACTATCTTGCTTTGCATGTAATGAGTCTATCTCATATATTAGTTTCACCTTTTAAGTTGCATTACTGAAATAAATGAACTTTTGCACGATATTCTAATTTTTTGAGTTTCACCTGTACAGTATATTTATAAAAAAAATTTAAATTGTTGCTGTCCTCACTCTGCAGAGTTCACATTTACCAATAAATAGACATTTCTAAAGGGCACCATTCCAAGCTCCATTTCTTAAAGCTCCATTTCTTAATACCTTAGTGTATGTTATTCTATCTACTCACTCTAAAATTTCTAATAAATATTTCATGGTTACAAACTTTCAATTAATTAGTCATTGAATACTCACCACCACTACAGGCAAAGGTTAGTGTATTGATTGTTTTACAACTTGCACTAGCAGTGTTGTCAACAGAACCTTGTAGAAACAATTAAGAAAGGTGGGATCACACTTGATTAGAATGCAAGCCAAAACATTCTACCACTGATGTAGCAAATTCTCTTAGCAAATAAAGAAGCTAATCAACTAATGCTAACAATTGGTACAAAACAAATAAAGCTAACTTTTTATTCTAAGCCTGGCAATACCCAAATGCTTTTGCATATGATTTAGATGATCCTTTTCTTCACCATTGTGCATATCCACCACACCAAGTGTAAATAGGCATTTAAAAGCAGCATACTGTTACAGCTAAATTAGTTCAAAGATGGACCCCGACTCATCAATATGGATGGTGTTCTCAGAACCCAATGTCAACTGTACAAAAAAAGAAGGGGGGGAATGGGAACTCACCTAAAGCCCACCATCAAAAAAGGGGATCCACAAGAGAACAACTGCAGTTTGATCCAAAGTAAAATGTATTGGTTATAAAAAGAATCTGTAAAAAAAAGTTTCTTGTAGATACAAGCAACCTCTACTGTTCACCACTAAAAACAAGTGACAAAGTTGTCAATTGTAAAACACAGCCTGGGCTCACAGGCATGCAAAACCATGCATCCTCCCACAGATAGTGATATGAGTAGCTACAGGTTAGTCCTGGCAGAAACCAGCAATGGCTTATAAGTAGTAAGGGATACTGGAAATAACAAATAGTGGTAAGTCCTCAAATCCAGAGATATCAATAATTCAGCCAGTATTCCAAATATAGCTGACTAGTTAGCTTTTCTTCCAACTTATAGTTATTTACCTAAAAAGGGGCACATAGTCCAATGACAATAATTAGTCCTCAAAGTGGGATACTGAGGTGGAATGTCTGCAACACTAAGCTCCGCTCCACACGGGGATCCCTAACAAAGCCATGCGGGTTGGTAGTGTAACATGTGGGGTGGAGCTTAGTGACGTCACTTGCGGTCACGGAGCTGCAGACCGGAAGTTCGTATTTTTAAACGGGTACGCATTATATACCATGCTATATTGTGAGTGCATACTTCGTTATTCATATTTTACGTTAATTAAATGGTTTTACATGATTGCAGGCTGTTCTCTCTTCCTTATATGCTGAGGCCAGGGGCGGACTGACCATTTGGGAACTCGGGCAGTGCCTGAGGGCCCGGGGTCAGAAGGGGGCCTCATGAGATGCCAATGGTACCTTTCATAGGCTTTTTTGGGTGTGGTTTGAGTGTGGGCAAGGACACAGGGGCCCCATGATCCCCTATTGCCCAGGGGCCCATGAGTTGTCAGTCCGCCCCTGGCTGAGGCTGAGTGGTGAGGAGGTCCCTGTGGGTGATCGTCATTACCATCCCTGTTATTAAACAGTACAGGTCCTTTGCTGCTATCTGGAGTTCATATATGGAATGATCATGTTTGATAGGTCTATGTTGCTATATAGGTCCACAACCTGAGGTGAGCGGTCATCCTATTTTAGGGTGGAGGGGCACTGAATTAATTTTGGTGTGGAGCATTATCAGTGAAAGCACAAGAATTTATAGCCTTTGGGCTGATTGAGCACTGCAAGACTCTATTATGATATATATATATATATATATATATATATATATATATGTATTTTTTGCACTATTAGGTACTCTTTATTTTATACATTTTTGTACCATCATTATATGTGCAAATGTTCTGAGTAGCACAACACTAATTTATTTTTGGTTTTATATTGTGTGTGGGAACACTTTAAGTGTTTTTGAAACAACTCACATTTCATTTTTTTTTTCAATTTACTAATATTTGTGGTAGAGCACATTGTTTTCTATATACAATATAAGATAGGTTTCAAGTGCAAAAAGTCAGGTGAACTCCACCTTATGTTTTGTGGCCTTGCTGGGACTTTTTTCACTTTCTAATGCTTTTCGGAAATTTTTCACATCAATTAATTTTTTGGATTGATTTGCTGTATTTACATGGTACACAAAGGGTTGCGTTTCTGATCTTGAGTGGTATATCATGGGGGTGTTACACATGTTTTTGTTGCATCATAGGGTGTATACAGTATGTGACATCCTAGGGAGAGCACCCAAATATAATTTTGCACGATTTTGTTCATATATATCACTAGATTAACTTTTATTCACAATAGCTTATTTTAACCACTTCCCATCCGGCCCATGTACATAAATAGCTGGACGGGAGCAGTGCAGGGGTGGGTGACCATTTATAAACGGCCTCCCCGCCCCCTGCTTGTGCGCGTTCCCTGGGAGCGTGCAGCACCGCGATCCGGTGCCCGCTGTGTGCGAGGTCCCGATCATGTGATCAGTGATCACATGAAGACTAGTAAGCAAGATGTCACTTCTGACATCATTGCTTACAACGTGTGAAATCTGTGAATGATCACAGAGGTCACATGGTACAAGGCTATTCACAACAGCCTTGTACCATGTGACAAGCTGTGACCAATCACAACTCACACAGTATTTCTCAATGGCTGCAAGAATGCAGCCAGAGAGAAGGGGAAATGATTGCTTTTACAGCCTTTATGGGTGTAAAAGAGATCAGTGTAAAAAAAAAATCTTTAGAACCCCCCACAAGTAGTACAGTGTCACCATGGTGACACTTTATTGCTGGGGGGTGACAGTATGTTAAAAACAAAGCATAAATAATAATATAAAAAATAAAATAAAAATGTAAAAAAAAACAAATTTTACATTTTTTTATCATTTTTAGTTATAAACTAATTTGGGTAATTTTCTTTTTAATAAAAAGATAAGTGAATACATTTTGGTCAAGATTTATGAAGAAAGATTATTTCTTTACAAAATTTTACAAGAAAAACTTTCATTTATATAGCAAAAAAAAAAAAATAAAAATCCTAGTGGTGAATAAATACCACCACAATAAAGCTTTATCTATCTAAAAAAAAAAATGCTAAAAAAATCATATGGGTACATTGTTGCATGACAGCGCAATTGTCATTTAAAGTGTGATAACGCTGAAAGCTGAAAATTGGTCTGGGCAGGAAGGGGTAAAAGTGTTCAGACTGGAAGTGGTTAAGTGTATCTACTGTATATAACAGTGCTACACAACAAATGTTGATGCAGGCAAAAGATTTACTTACCTGCAGTACAGTGAATGTGGAGGCACATTGAAACCGCAGTGTCCTTACAGACACTCCAATCTCATTGCACCACATTTCCTGCTGCTACTGCAGCTGTTACACAAACAGTGCAGCATCAGGGAGTCCTATATTGGGGGGTGTGGATCCTGATGGGTATTCACAGAGAGTAGTTCCCCATTAGGTCTACTCCCCTTTTGATCAACTAGTGTCTCAGCTCCCCCATCCGGCTCCATCCACTGCAGTGTCATAGGTTGCTAAGAGGCTGTCAGCTGTGAATCTGACAGTGTTGTTAACAACCAGGTTAGAAGAGGCAAACATACCACTCTTCTCCATTGCATACAGGGACAGGCACTCTGCCTATCTCTGCACACCAACTTACAGTTGTTTTTAATTATCTCCAGTTTCAAAACCTATGAACTAGAGATAATTGTTTTTTTTATTTGGTGCATTATTAAAACTATAGAACAAACTGAATCAGCTGCATGTATTGGTAAAGTTACCAAAATGCATAGTGTGCTGCCTGGGTGATATCATCTCAGGAACAGAAGTGTGCATCTGCTAGCATCCCTTGTCTCATGCATGTGATCTTTGTGAACAATGGAAGTGTACTTTTAAATGTAAGTTTTTACTTTGGATCTTTAATAAACATGGTATTGCTTATGGAAAGCACCATGGGATCTTCAATATTTTTAAAGTATGTTGCTTTATACATAATAACAAGGTATCACACACTTATTGTTGATAATAACTATGAAATGCCATATATAGATAGGTATTCTGAGCACATTGCACTTACTTTTTTATCTAGACAAGCTTCAGGAAGCCATTGGCATCTTATCCTTCATTTAAGCTGATTAACCCTTGGTACACATATGTGGGCTGCGTTTCACGTGAGCACAAGAGCCCATTCATTTGAATGGACTCCCGTGCCCCGGGACGTGCAGGGAAGAAGTCCCTGTACTTCTTCTGAAAATGCAGCCCGCACAGGAACCTCGGTTCCCAGTATGGTTGCGTTCTCCAGTGCGAATGGTGTGCCATTAGAATTAATGGAACCCGCCCACGGGTCCGCATTCCTCTATGCAGGTGGTGCAGCTGCACGGATTTTGATGTGGATTCACAGCCGCACCACCCACACAGATGTGAACCTAGCCTTAAGTTTACCCATTATTGACCGTCTGTTTAGAGCTTTAAAGCAAGCCTTTTATTTGCCAGTGTTTACAAAAACTGTGGCCAGATAAGAACTATTTAACTTCTAAACAATTCACTTAAAGCTGTATTAAACCCAAAAGCAATCATTTATTATATTTCAACTTAACAATTCTTAGATGTGGTGGCTGTGTTAGTTTTTTTTTTGCTCTCTCTTTCTTCTACTTTCAGCTATGCTGTTTTTCAGAAATTCTCCAGCAGAATCCATCAGGTTACATGGATAAGATCATCCATTTACCACTGGCAGGGGTGATTAAAATGATCAGCTTTTTATTCATGTAAAACCTTTATCCCGAAAGGACAAAAATGTTTGTTTACACTGATTATAAAGTGTTAGTTGGAGTTTGGCTTAATTTGTTATTTGTATTCAAATCTGCTAATACAGTTATGTGACAGGCTTGCGGCTCCACTCACAATTGGGCAATATGAAGTAACCCCGCTGATGTGCTGAAAGTGGGAGCAGCCATCCTGGCACTCTCCAGGAGTGTAGGATTGCAAGGAGGTATGGATGCTGCTCAGAGCAGCCCACACAGATTAAATGAAGAGTGTTTTTGTGTTGACCTCAGCCCTTGCTCCAGCCAGGGCCACTGATGCATTTAGCCCCATCTCATTGGGGCTTTGTCACTGATGGATGGGGTGCTAGCCGCCAGAGGGTGAGGACTGAGGCCAACACAAAGACACTTTTCATTTAATCCATGTGGACTGGTTTTAGTGGCGTCCACATCTCCTTGTGATCCAACACTCCTGCTAATACAGTTACCGCTCCCACCCCAGACTTACAATGCTGCTCTCTGCTGTGTCCTAGCTCATGCCTCCAAAGTGGTGTCTCACTAATACAATATGTGTTTTTGTTGGCCAGATCACCAGATGAAAACAGAGGGAAAAAGGCCAAAAAAATAGTGAGGCAGCCACCACATCTAATGATTGGTAAGCTGCAATATAATACATTTTTGGTTTTGGGTTTTAATACATCCTTAAACAACATTATTAGTGAACAAAAACTCAGGTTTCTCCCCAGAATCTCAGTTATCCCCATTTGGAATGCCTCATCCTGCCTATTGGAAGGCATAAGGAAGGTGAAATCAGGTTATAAATCAGAGAGACACATTTGATTTGCATATGACAATCTTGTGTGTTATGAAGTTATGGTGCTATTGAATCATACCTAAGAATCGATAATTGCACATTGTTGTTGTTTATTCTGCTTGGTTTGCACGTTTTGTGGTAAGTGTGTTTAAAAAGCAGATTATGAAGCTATTACTCTATTTACATGCTTTAGGAGTGGAAACATTCACTCAAAATTGTGTTCACACCTTTGCATGTCCTGTGAATCTTACAGACAGTAAAACAAATGTACATAGTAGCACAGTGATGTCATTGGGTATTGCTGAACTGACTGTCTGCTGAGCTGAGTTGCTGTAAAAAAAAAGTACAAAAGAAACAACTTTTGATCTGCATTTTCTATTTGCTCTAATGACAGGTGTCCTAAGAGGATGCTTTTCATCATACTGACAGAGCAATAAGAAAACACAGGTCAGGTATGACACTTCTTTATAGAATAGTAGAGGAACGTGGCACTAAGGAATACATACATTGCTTACTATGCAGTTTAACTGTTTTCTTAGGTGTCATGCTGGGTGTTAAGCTTTATTTTTATTGCTTTCACTTAAATGTTACTTTTCAACAGAAATTGCAGTTGGATATTGCTTTGGATTGTACACAGGCTTTATTTATAACACTATCTGGGTCATACACAAGTTTCAAGCACGATAATAAATTAAAGGTGAACCTAAATTACAAAAGAGATAGTCATAAGGAAATCATAAATCACAATAATTACACTGACTCTTATCCTTGCGTTCCCACTACATTTTATACAGCTAGGCTGAAAAATTATTACAATTATGTGAATAAAACTAGCATGAGAAAGAAACAAACCAGTAGGTTACGAATTCATCTTTAATCTGAGATGGGAGTATCTAATTGCAATAAAAGTTTAAGCAGGTGCTCTGGAAAAGAGCTGGATACCCTTGAGAGACCGTAGCTTATTTTAAAATTGCATGAAGGTAACTTTAATAGCTTGGAAAAGAAAACAAGCTCAAGCTGGGGAATAATAGAATTATTTCAAGAGAATTCTGAAGACTTGGGCACTTAAGACGGTACCTGCAGAATGGTCAAGGTATGGATGTATGCACATTTGCAGCTTTGTAAAAAAAACTTAAGGATCTTCTGTAATATGCTAAAGATGTTCACAGAACAATAATGTTCTGCAGCTAATAACAAACATTTACAAGTTCACTTAGATTATTGCCGATTTCTGTGAGTTAATAAACATTACTAGTCATTAATTTTTTTATTTCTGCCTTTTTAAAACACTCACCCTGTATTTCTATTAATCTCAGGGACCCCCTGTTCATTTAACACTGCTAGACATAATACTAAATATAGCATCTAGAGACAACAAACCTGTCTGCTGCGTGCATACTGTATATTGATACCGTGGGAATGATTTACTAAAGGAAGCAAGCATGTCAAGTTTGCAAAGTGAATTTTTACTTTAGAAAGTTACTTCGTAAAAATATACTTTTAGGAAAATACCAAATTAAGGAAGATTAAAAAAAAATAGAATTGTAAAAGTCAATTCTTCTTTACCTTATTTGCTTAGCTAAGTGACATTTCATCATATAAAGTGAAAATTCACCTTCAAAAGCAGACATTCACTTTGCAAAGATAACAACCTCTGCAAAGATAACAATCTCTATGTATCTCTGGGGTAAGAGTTCCAACTCTGCACAGAGCAGCACTATGTGAGCAGGCAAGGGGAAAGTGACTGGAATTGTCTGAAAGTCGTCACCCTATAAATCTAAAGGCATAATGTGCAATAGTCCTCAATACTCAATCAGATTTTTGATTTTCATGCACTTAATTTAAAATGTATATTTCAATGCAGACAGAAGAGTGTTTAAAACACAGTTTATTTGTTATTTATAGCTTTATTTATATGTGTTGTTGAATTGTGTTATGTCCTGGAGGTATTGTTTTAAATCAGTAACACATTTTTTAAGAAAACTTCACAAATGACGATATATAAAAGTAAATAGGATAGGGTTGCTTCATGAAAATAGTTGAAAAATGATTATATGCTGCTATATG